TACGAGTACTTTTGCCAGTCCTTTTTCTTGGACGTTGCATGCGCTGTCTCTTATACACATCTAGATGTGTATAAGAGACAGGCGCGGCCCCCAAGGAATTGAGAAAACTTTCTGATGTCATCAATTGGTGTTTCCTTTTTTTATTTATTTGTATGAACAGGTGATCCGTTGGATGCGATTGTGCTGGGACCCCGACTTCCTTATGGGCACAGGGGTACCTGGCGAGTCCGCGGAATGGTGCGGTTCACAGACGCAGGCCTCGTCGACAACAAGCTGGTGTGCACTCAGCCACGGGTTCGTCCGGGCACGGGACGTCCTGCGTCTGTACCTGGATCGAAAGCTGGTCGGGGGGGTCCGACTTCTGCACCCGGATTGTCCGATCAAAGTTGGAAGATTGGTGGCCACTTTTCAACGGTGGGTATGACTACTACTACTAGTAGTAGCAGCATTGCAGCAGGACAGGGTCAGTCTCTTGAGAAGAGTAGCAACGATGCTACGGTAGGGGGTGATTTGGAAGAGTCCAAAGACCTTTCGCTTGTAGATTGGATGCTCATCACATCCTTTTTTAAGGTTTACACGAATGTCAAAGTGCTGGTCAATGCAGCAAGAAGAAAGAAAGGGAAGACTTCTTTCGATGGATGGGTGCTATTCTGAATATCTTTTTGAGCTATGTGCTCCTCGGTGTCCTTGTTTTGTTGTTGAAGCTTGACTAGGCACATGGGTGTGAAGATTGATGCACACGATGTTCCCTTGGGGCCAAAAAAAAAGAAAGGAACCAGCTTATTGGTTTGATTGGTGGCGTTGCATGAACCCACATACCTTTGTCTTGTTCATCTCCGCATCTCCCCATCTCTCCCCCATCATGTCCCCATCACCCCCCATCATCTCTCCCACTCTCCCGGCCTCCTTCCCCTTTGTGCGACCTCCTCCTCCCCCTTGCGCGATCTCCTCCTCCCCCTTGTGCAACCTACGCGACCTCCTCCTCGCCCTTGCACGACCTACCCGACCTCGTCCTCCCCCTCCATGCAGGACTGTACGACCTCCTCCTCCCACTTGCACGACCTTCTTCCCCTTGCACGACCTCCTCCTCCCTTTCCCGTTCCTCTCTCGTCATTGGTTCCCCCTCCCTCTCATGCAATCTCTTCCTCCCACTGTCATCGATCTCGTCGTCTGCCACTCACGACCTCCTCCTTCCCCTCTGACGACCTCCTCCCGATCTCTTTCCAACCTCCTCCCCACTGCCCGCCTCCACCTCCCACAACCTCCTCCCCATATGCAACCTCTTCTCCTCCTTGTGCGACCTCCTCCACCCCCTCGCGGGATCTCCCCCTCACATGACCTCCTCCTGCCACTCTCACTACGTCCTCTGCATTTCCACACTCCTTGCGCTCCACCTGTTTGCATGCGCCGCGCTATCCGCATAGAGTCAGCTGAAAGTCTCCACCTCTGGAAAACGGCCAAAAAAAGATGCAACGGCCCGACGCGCACTTCGGCCCCACCTCTTCCTTGTCACGTTTCGTGCACTGAGTTCCTCAGTCTTCGTTTGAGACCGCCTGTTTCCGCCGAGTGGGACAGTGTCCCCGTCCTCCCCCGGCCTCGCACCCCCCTGCCCCCGCGCGGCTCCTCGTGCGAACACTTTTTCTGGGCTTGGCGGGGGGGGGGGGCATGCGAGGACTGCTGGAGTGTATAGGGATAGCAACCGATTTGAGATTTAGCAATGGGTGACAGGACTGTGTGAAGAACCAGAGCAAAAGGATGGAAATGTCTCTCTCTCTCTCTCTCTCTCTCTCTCTCTCTCTCTCTCTCTCTCTCTCTCCTGTCTCTTATACACATCTAGATGTGTATAAGAGACAGGACTAGACCCCAGGCAAGAAATCGGTCACTCCCTTGCTTCATCAAATGTTTGCTGATTTATAATTAAATTTAATTAATTGTTTTTTTCTTTCCCTTGTGTTAACTTACGTATGGACGAATCAAAACACTCAGGGCCTCGCCGCACGCCGAAACGTCTTCATTTTGAATGTATTGGTACCGTATCCGGTCCAGATACATTCAAAGAATGTTGGCGTTTAGTGAGTGGTCTCAACCTCCTTCTTCCCCCTAATACTAGAGGGTCATTATGCCTCTATTTGGGTCATCTTTCAGTCTAGATACATACAGCGGTAACGAACGTGCGTTCTATTCGGGTCCACTGCACTGCTCGCTGAAACACCAACATTCTGAATGTATTGATTGGTACCGTATCCGGTCCAGATACATTCAAAGAATGTTGGCGTTTAGTGAGTGGTCTCAACCTCCGTCTTCCCCCTAATAGACTGTATAGGGTCATTATTATGACTGTATGCGGGGCATCTTTCAGTCTAGATACATACAGCGGTAACGAACGTGCTCTATATTCGGGTCTTCACGGTAGGCACTTCCCTGCTTTCTCACCTAATTAGTCAAAATCAGAGTTAAAAAAAAAAAAAAAAAAAAAAGAAAAACCCGGCGATAATTACACTTGTTGAGCTCTCCCCTATCAGATCGTGGGTTCAAACTCTGAGTTGATCATTCACATTGAATTAATATAATATATATTATATAGAATCATTTATTATAGATAGAATAGAGAAAATACATAATTGGATTAAACATTTATTTGTGAAATTCAATATGATGCAAATATCAGTAATACAAAGTGTAAAATTCAAAAGTCAAAAAATAATCAATAATATAATATCATGTGCATGTGCCTGTGTGCGCGCCAACAACCCAAGAACCTCTGTCTCTTTCTCTCACGCACACATACGCACACACAGATAAAATCATTTTAGTACTTGTTATCTAAGTGAGCACTTTTAAGTAGTGCCAAATAGTCGGCCGTTGCTTGTTTGGAGTGCCTGCAGTACTATTAGGGGCCCCGTACTGTTCAGGATGTATGTGTGGTGCGTATGGTCTATGGGCGAATCCGGTGATGGCAGACGTTCGTTGGATCGGCTCGGATCGGCTCGGCTTCCTGGCTCAGCAGCTGGTATGGACCAACGCTCTCCGGGGTTCTACTTGTGGTGTGAGCAGGTGATGAATTGCTTTGGTCTGCGACTCTGCGTGCCTCGCCTCCGCTGCCTTGCTCCCCCACTCACTTGCCAATTCTTTCCCCGCAGCTTGTCTGGTTTCCGTGTACTTTGGCTGCTTGTCGGTGTTCCCTTGTGCGTCGCTGCGCTGTTGCCTTGCTGCCTATCTGCACGGCGTCCTTCGCCGTGCAGCGTGCTTGTGTGTTGTGCAGTTTGACTGCATTTTCTTAGCTCTGCCGCGTGCTTCGCTGCACTGTTGCCTCACTGCCTGCCCGCTTCTGTGCAGCGTTCTTGTGTGTTGTGCAATTTGGCTGCTCTTTCTTAGCTCTGCTGTGTGGTTCGCTGCGCTGCTTGCCCAGCTTCGTGCAGCGTGCTTGCGTGTTGTGCAGTTTGGCTGCTTTTTCTTAGCTCTGCCGTGTGCTTCGCTGCGCTGTTGCCTCGCTGCTTGCCCGCTTTCATGCAGCGTGGTTGTGTGTTGTGCAGTTTGGGTTCTTTTTCTTAGCTCTGCCGTGTGCTTCGCCTCGCTGTTGCCTTGCTGCTTGCCCACTTTCATGCAGCTTGCTTGTGTGTTACAACTGTTTTTTCTTAGCTCTGCCGTGTGCTTCGCTTCGCTGTTGCCTTTCCGATTTCCCTCTTGAACTGGTGTTTCACCCATTTACCTTGTTTGGCGTTGTGTCATTGGCCTGCCCCTTTCCCTGCAGCTCGTCTGGTTGCCCTGTTGCCTTGTGCTTTGCTGTGTGCCTTGCCTTTCCGTGCAGCGTGCTTGTGTGTTGTGCAGTTTGGCTGCTTTGGCCTGCCCCTTTCCCTGCAGCTCGTATGGTTGCCCTGTAGTTTGGCTGCTTGTTGGTGTCGCCTTGTGCTTTGCTGCGTGCCTTGCCTTTCCGGGTAGCGCGCTTGTGTTGTGCAGTTTGGCTGCTTTTTTTTAGCTCTGTCGTGGGCGTCTCCACGCTGTTGCGTTGCTGCTTGCACGCTTGTGTTGTTTGTGAAGTTTGGCTGCGCCAATAAAGCACGGGTACCTACCGCGCTCTGAGTCCCCTCTGTTTCGAATGAATACAGACCTGCCCGGCAGGCCTATTCATCCACCGCGTTATCGGCCTACAAATGCGGTAGGTACTGGTGGCTTAATGCTGCCTTGTGCTTGCCTTGCTTCTGTGTTGTTTTTTTTTCTGATGCTGCCTGCCATCTGTCCACTTCCAACAGGTGTTAAAAGAGTCCTTGACTCTTTTTTTTTTTTCCATGACTCAAAAGTATCAATATGGGGATTTGGGAGATTGTCGGGGCTTCAGCCTCCTGATGATGAGTTATTGTGAGTCCCATGAAACAATTTTTCATCAATCAGACACTTCTTTTTTCTTAAAGTGCGGTGGCCTTGAGATATCATCATTGGACTGATGGGCCCCAGGTAATTTATAATTATTTTAATAATTTTATTCTGGTCATCTGATTCTATTGGGATTCAAACTTGGGCCTGTATTTCAACAGTTCGTGGGTATACCGACTGAGCTACTGTCTTCACCCGAATAGAACGCCCGGTCATTATAGCTGTATTTGGGGTGACTTTCAGTCTACATACAGAGATAATTACAGGGCGTTCTCTTCAGGTGAAGGCGGTAGGCCCGTTGGTTCATCATCAGTTTCTTTTTTTTCTTTTTTTAATTTATTAATCTATTTATTTATTTAATGTGGTCCGATGGATGGACCACAGATCAAATATTAAACTGATCAGAACAGATACATTTCACTTTATCTATTCTTAGCCAAAAGGCCGAGCAAGATATTTTTTTCGCGTCTTTGTTTCTTTTTTTTTTTTTTTTT